GGCGGTGATGTAGAATCGGTGGGCGGGTTTAAACGGGCGGTGATGTAGAATCGGTGGGCGGGTCTAAACAGGCAGTGATGTAGAATTGGTGGGCGGGGCTAAACAGGCGGTGATGTAGAATCGGTGGGCGAGGCTAAACGGGCAGTGATGTAGAATTGGTGGGTGGGGCTAAACAGGCGGTGATGTTGATCATCTTCTGCGGGGGCGGGGTTTATCCACACTATTACATCATAGAGTAGAACATTCCACAAGCTTTGGTTTTGGCAGACTGCCTTCAATATCAGCTGTTTTTAGACTAACTAACTTACAGGATGGTTCAAATGGATGGTGAAAACAACTTACAGGATGTTTTTATAGTACAATGACTTCTTACATGTCAAAAGATCAAGGGAATTTTGATTTCTCAGTTCATGACCCCTATTTATACTTTTTTTTTTCTTGAAATATACAAAAATATATATACATAAATCAGTTAATTAATTTAAAATAAAATATCACCTGGTATATATACACATTCCATTCGTTGTGATTAACAACATGAAGTGCATTAAACATTACATTACATTAAGGTTTCCCAAACTGGGGTTCGTGAGTTTAATGAAAAGCTAATAATTAATTACATTTAAAATAAAACAATTAAATTTGATTTAATTTGAAAATCATTTTAAAAGAACAACAATCAAAATAAAACACTTACTAAAAAACATGAAATATTTTGTTTTATTTGTCATCTGACCATTAACCAGCATCAGAGAACTGTGAACATGCAAATGTGTTACTTTTTATTAACTTGTTACTTGTTAACAGTGGACCGAAACGTTGCGTTTAATAAAGTTTAAGAATTAGCCAGTATTGATAGTGTGCGGGTTCGTTACTTATTATTAACTTGTTACCTAAACTCTCAGGGGGAACTTCAAGTACATTTAGTAGGTGAAAGAGGTTCAGCTGAGAAAAAAATAAAAAATAAAAAATTGGGAATACCTTCAGTGCAGGTAATGTAAATAAGAAATAACAAAAATTGTCCACAAAACTGGAAGACTTTCTGAATGTATATAAGTGATTTAGAAAGGAAGATTTAAAGGGGTCATAGGATGCTACATGCAGTTTTACAAGTTGTGTAAAAAATGTGTGTTGGCAGTGTGTGCACACAACCACCCTTATAATGATAAAATCCACCCAGTGTTTTTTTTAAACTACTAAAATCTTCACCCCTTTCTCAATGTGATCCAGCTTCACCTACAGAAGAAGTGAGTATAATGTTTTGTAATGAATCTTCGCAAATCATCTTTCCTAATAATGTGCTAGTTAGCAAGTTTCACGATGAACTGCGGCTAAAGTAAACAGTCCCTCAGAGAGCGGCTCGGAAGAGAGGGGCGGGGTCAGCAGAGCTCATTAACATTTAAAGGAAAATGCTACAAAACGGCTTGCTCTGAAAAGAGCTGTTTTTGACAGGGTAAAAAAAGTGTTTTTTACACTACCATTGAGAAATTTTAACTAAACTATATTACAGACTTTTCATTAAGACCCTAAAGAATCATATCAACTTCTGGAAAATGGGCATCCGATGACCCCTTTAAAAGATAAAAAAAAAGAATTCTGCAGAATGAATGAATTCACCTGGTGTGGCTGTTGGATGAGAGACTCTCCCAGGGCTGGACACTGCAGCCGCTGACTGCAAACGCAGCTCCGCAGCTGCCATCCAGACGCGTCAGGAGATCTTTAGCTGCGATCTCTGCTGTCTTTCTGCTATCGTGAGCTTTCTTCAGGATCTGTGTGATGCTCTCTTCACCCGCCTGCTCTCCTGCCATGATCATATAGCACAGTATTCACTAAATGATGTACCACAGTTCTAATGTACGTTCAGATCCACATACAATATAAATATATAGTTCAGTCATGAAACTCTAGATGGCGCATTCTGACGGGTTGTTAATGTAACTGATGATATTCAGAGAGTTAAATGACTTGGCACAAGCTGATTGGTTCATGCTGCACATGCAGCCAATGAGCTTACTGCCTTGCATTTATATGGCTGGCTAGCATTTACTTGAGATTCCTGCAGCGCGCTTTCAGAGTTCTCTGAAACCCTCCACCTTCCCCAGCTCCACCTGTATAGATCTGCTACGGGTTATTTTATATGCTATTTGTGCAGCAGCAGTATGTCTTAAATACTAATGGCACCGTATCGCCGTATGCATTGACAGCAGCAAGTTCCTGTACTTGCATTCAGCAGCAGCAGCAATAATCTACTATAATCTTCCAAGACCAAATACATTAACATTGTCATATCCATCCCCATGCTAAAATCTTCCGAGAGTTGTCATGACTGAAATACTATTTTCATAATTTCTCTGTGGGAAAATTCAGTGTAACTCTGCAAGCAGATGTAAATATGGTAAAATATGTTAACCAGAGCTGAAAGCACCACACTATTAACTGAAAACATGATCTAATTAAAACACTACACTTTGTAATCAATGCAAACATTTATGCAAAACTCTTTCCAAATGCAATTATAATTAAAAAGAAAATAATCAAAGATAATATTTAGAAATAAATGATTGTGACCGATGAATTGTGTGGAGATTCTGTGGATCTTGACATGCTGAATTCTCACAGTTTTATTGAATAATTAATTTTTTCATTTCTCCAGCAGCGGTGTGCATGTGTTCAGATGTTCTGTGTGTGGAGAGAAACTAATTACACTAGTAATAACTCATGAGCCGTTAATGAAGCGCTGGAGAACCAGGATATTAAATGATGCTCAAAGCTCCTGAGGAGAACAGAGAGCATGAAGGAGGGGCGACTGTATAAAGTCACAGTCATCTCTATAGTGATTTATACAATACAGATTCACAGAAATAAACAATAAATCATATTGATGAAATATGAATGAAATTTAATATGAAGTCTGCATGTTCTGCATGTCTCTGCACAGATTTGTCTTGGTTTAACTTGAAGAAATTGTGACAGAAATACAATACTATATAATACAAAATATAATACTGTAGTAGAAAAAGCAACAACAATAATATTAATATTAAATTTTTTTAAAGGAATGCTACAGCATTTTTCTTCCATGTTCTTCCATTTGAACAGTAAACCAGGTTTTAGTTTGCTAAAATATAAAAGGAATTGTTAAATTTTCATTTGATTAAATTTATTAAACAATTATTAAACTGTTAATGTTTTATGCCATCATTTGATTACTACTGTTTTTAAATCAAAGTAATAATAATATGTAATAATAATAATAGAAATAGTATATATAATATAATAGTAAAATGTAATAATAATTTGCATTAAATTATAAATTAAAACCGAAATTAAAACAAAAAATAAATTTCATAGGGTACTATTATTGTAAAAATGTTAATGAATTATTAAATTGTTGAAGCTTTATGAATTAAATTGATTAAACATGCTTTTTGATAGCTACAACTTAATTAAACCATTAAAACAGAATCCAGATGAATTTAAATCGAAAGCACAGAATTTGGGAAAAATAAAACAGATTTTCTGAAAAAGAAAACATTTAATAGGGCCGTATTATTGTAAAAAGTTTCACAAATTATTAAATTGTTGAAGTTTCACAATTTCAATTATTTTGACATTTTTTCATTACAAAAATGTAATTTAAACATTTAAATGGGGAAAAAATGGGGGAAAATTACAACAGATTTCAAAGGGCCCTAGTTACAGCAGTGTTTCAAAAACTGGGGTTTATACATTTTAAAGAGAATTAAATGATAAAAATTTTAAATGAATTCATAAATATAAAAAATAAATAAATAAATAAAAAAATTTCTAAAAATATTTATTTGTATTTTAGTATTTGTACTATATTTTAAAACATATATTTTAATTGTTTACCTGTATGTCATGTCACCAGTAACTGACATCAGAGGATCACAAACATGAAAATGTGTTGTTAAATTATTGAAATATTAACTTAAAATTTCAGTGGGCCAAGAAATTATTTAAACTCAAATGGTTCGGCTGACAAAAAAGATTGGGAACTCCTGGGTTATAGCACTTATATCTATCTGTATATAAAACAACAGAAGTGCATGGGATGACCTGATTCAGATGTAAGTACAGACACACAGACACACAGACACACAGACACACACACACACAGACACAGACACACAGAGACAGAGACACACAGACACACAGACACACAGACACACAGATACACAGATACACAGATACACAGATACACACACACAGACACACACACACACACACACACACACAGACAGACACACGGTCATGAAAACACACTCCGGAGGAATGTGGAGGCCAGTGCAGATCCTTCATCAGCTTCTGAAAAAATATTTGACGGGAAACAAAAGCCACAAACAGGCCCGGACGTGATGCTGGAATGCGCTCGTTTCATCAGCCTCCGATTATAACACAGGTACAAACAAACAAGAACCAGTCTGAGTCTACAACACAGAGTTCATGAGTCCTGGACCTTCTTCAGTGAAGTTACTGAGAGAAAAAACTGGAAAAGTCTAGATATTTTTACAAATCCCACACCAGCTTTAAAGCAGGGTTATTTTTGTTAAAACTGAAACCATAAAAAAAACATCACCGTTACTTAAAAAATAAAATAAACTTTAACATAACTAAAATAAAATATAAAAAACTTATTTCAGCTAGTTGCTATTTCTCATTTTTGTTTAGTTAACTTGAAGTACTGAAATAACAAACAAAATAAAACTAATAAATATTATTAAATATTTTACAAATGACAAAAACACAACATTTCTAAAACTTTAACTAAAAATTAAAACCAGAAAATATCAAAATTAAATTTGATCCTTGCTCTCTCTCTCTGTCTCTCTCTCTCTCTATATATATATATAAATATATACACACATTCCTTGCTGAATAAAAGTATTAATTTATTTTTAGTTTTTTTTACCTCAAACTTTTTAATGCTAATGTATCATGGTTTCCACAAAAATATGAAGCAGCACAGCTGCTGAAAATTCAGCCTTGATCACAGCAATAAATGACAGTTTACAATATATCCACATAGAAAACAGCTATTTGAAATTATAATATTTCAAATTTTTACTGTATAGCCTGATAAGCATAAAAGACTTCTTTCAAAAACATTATAATCTTACCAGTAGTGCACATATCCTAAAAAGTGAATAACAGTGCTTGAAAGGCAATAAAACTAGCGACATTCGAGGAGAAAAAATATATAATTTTTCTAATCTAATTCATCAGGAATTGATTGGATGCTGAAAGGTGGATATTAAAAAGCAGAAGTGAGTTGAAATCTGCATCACTTCCTCTAACAGCATTTGAGAGACTGAATCTCTTCATGAATACAAATGAGCCCTGAGTGTGTGTGTGAGAGAGTGTGTGTGTGTGTGTGTGTGTGTGTGAGAGAGAGAGTGTGTGTGTGTGTGAGAGAGAGAGTGTATGTGTGTGTGTTTGTGTGTGTGAGTGAGTTTGTGTGTGTGTGTGTGTGTGAGTTTGTGTGCATGTGTGTGTGTGTGTGTGTGCGTGTGTGTGTGTGTGTGTGTGTGTGTGTCAGACAGAGATTTCCCCAGCGATATGGCAGCTTTTCATCACACTCATCCACAGGTCACACCACCTCTGATGCTTTTATCAAATAACGACACTAAAAGCGATTAACCGTCTTAAAGGAAGCAGAAACAGTCAGCAGCGCGAGCAGAATGTGAGTGTGTTTAGGTGGTTTGTGTGTGTGTACCTGTACTGCAGGGCCAGTCTGAGCGCGGTGGCGTTGGACTCGTATTTCCCCACCAGCATACTCATCCGCTCGGCGTTAGTCTTACACTCCTCCAGCGTGATGGTCAGCAGATCGTTCTGAGACTTCAGGTGCTCTATACGACTGAAACACACACAGCAATCATGATCAGATGCACAGGGTCCCTACATAGTGTTCACTGCTCCCTACACACTCAGTATAGGGATATCTGAAGATGTTCACTTCAGCTGACAAAACACATTCGTTTGGGACGGTCTGCAATGACAAAGACAACACTTGAGTATTTTCTGTATAATGCAATTTCAGTAATATTTATATACTATTATAGCATTTATTAATATTTTGAAGTAGCTTTTATTTTAGTTTGTCGTTTTTATTGTTTTTTTTTTATTATTTCTATTAAGCTTATAATTTCATAATAATTGTTTGAGTCTGTCATTTTAGTAATTCAATGCAAACTTTAAAAACTTAAACTTATTTAATTTGAATGAATTTTATTTACGTTTTAGTCATATTTTTATGCATGTTTGTCAGTTTTATTTGTTTTTTTAAATATTTCTATTTAGGTTATTTTTATTTCAGTTTGAGATTTAGTCATTTAAGTACTTCAACATTTAATTTAATTTCAATTACATTTGAATTTGAATTTTTTAGAATTTTTCTTAGTTTTAGTTTTTAATATTTCTATTTAGCTTATTTTATGTTTTGTTTAGTACTTCAACATTTTAGTCATGTTAGTACTTCACCTTCAACTTAATTTCATTTTATTTGTTTTGGTAATTTTATTATCTGCTTTTGTCATTTTGTTAGTTTTTTATATTTCTATGTAACTTTAATTTATTTCCATTTCAGTTTGGGTTTTAGTAAATGTTTTAATTAAAAATAAGAAATTAAATAAATTTAAATTAAATAATTTAAAGTAGTTTTTTATTTAATATTTTATTTTATTTCAGCTTTATTTCAATTAACAAGAACATTTAGTAAATAGTTGTAGTTAGCAATAACACCACTGGTATGATGTGCGGAGACACACGTAACTGAGTGAAGTTCACTTCGAGTGATTGGAGTGAATCCTATGGTTCAACAGCAGATCTTCTCGCTCTCTAACCTGTTGAGTCTCTCCGTCTCCACCTCGAACTCGCGGATCTTGCTCTCGGAGATGGCGGATCCGTGCGAGTAGAGCGTCTGGAAGATCTCCTGGATGTTGGAGCAGTCCTGAAGGGAATGAGCCAGGTGTTCAGCCACGTTACTGGACACCTGAGGAGACACACAGAAACAACACTAAACCAGCAGATCAGTGCACTTCGACACTGCTGTTACTGCACTCAAACCCTGATACTCCTCTCACTGCATTTCATTTGTCTTCCCCACAATGTCTTGCAACTCATTCAACTCACCCCGATGCTGCTGATTTCAGAGCCGAGGACGGATCTCTCCGCTGGCAGCGATTCGGAGCGCGTTTTCGACAGCTTCACTCGCTCCGCCACCTGCCAGAAACAAACACACAAACACACACACAAACACACACACAGAGACAGAGACAGAGACAGAGACAGAGACAGAGCAGTGCACTTCGACACTGCTGTTACTGCACTCAAACCCTGATACTCCTCTCACTGCATTTCATTTGTCTTCCCCACAATGTCTTGCAACTCATTCAACTCACCCCGATGCTGCTGATTTCAGAGCCGAGGACGGATCTCTCCGCTGGCAGCGATTCGGAGCGCGTTTTCGACAGCTTCACTCGCTCCGCCACCTGCCAGAAACAAACACACAAACACACACACAAACACACACACAGAGACAGAGACAGAGACAGAGACAGAGACAGAGACAGAGACAGAGACACAGAGACACAGACAGACAGACAGACACACACACACACACACACACACAGACACAGACACACACACAGACACAGACACACACACAAAAGAACAAACAAACACACACACACAAACAAACAAAAACACAGTCAAACATACAGTATGAGCATTATAAAGTGCAGCCTTGTTTAAAGCAATAATTCAGTTATTTTATATCAACCTGTGTGAGTTTTTTTCTGCGAAACACACAAGGTACATTTTAACTTAAATTCTGACCCTCATTTCAAACAACAAAACTTAAGGACTGCAGCTGTTAAACTCTACAATGAAACAACACAAAGCATCACATAACATAAAAGCATCAAACCACTGAAAAAAAGAAATAATAAAATAAAATAATAAAAAATGTAATTAAATCTACTATCACCATTATGCTCTTGATCAAGACACTTAAACTTAATCAAATAACATGAAAAAATAAAATAATAAAGTAAAATCTACTATCACTCTTATGCTCTTGTTCAAACTTAAATAAAATAAAATAAAATAAAAAATAATAAAATAAAATCGATTACTATTATGCTCTTGATCAAGGCACTTAAACTAAAAATAAAACAGAAAAATAAAAATAATAAACAAAAAAATGAAAATGAGTAAAATAAATAAATATACAATTAAATGTATAAAAATAAAAGGAAATCCCATAAAAAAAAATTATAAGGCAAGCTAAAAAATATCAGGCAAGGCGACATTTCTCATTTTAATTTAGTTTAAGTTGTACTAAAATAACTATAACTGAAAAAGATTTAAAAAAAGTTAAAGCTGCAGTCCGTAAGTTTTGCCTCTTTGTCGCCATCTCTGTTTGAAAACCTGCAATATCAGCTTTGTGCGGAATGATCTAGCTTGTGTGGGTTGTGCTCCGGCGCGGCTCCAGCGCGGATGAATCTAATGTTTAGAGGAGTATGTGTGTGTGGCAGTCAGTCTCCGCACCGGTGTGGATGTTTAATGTACTTCAAATCTAAAGATCGGTTAGCTCATATCACATCAAACCATTCAAATTATTATTATTGTTATAATTTATTCTCAAATGATTAATGTTAACAACATCAGCATTGGTGACTATGAGTATAGTGTGTAGATTTCAATTTCTGCACAGTCTAATCTCTAATCGTCATACCACTCGAATTTCATATTAAGAAATTCTTTTAACCCAAAAAGCAAATTATGCTCCCTTCGAACTGGTTTTCTTTCAAATACAAATCTTTGTAATCCCAGGCTATCTGTAATCAGAAGCACATTTAAAACTGGAATATAATTTAATTTCATTCACATGTGTTTCATAAACACATAATCCTTTCTGGATTACAATCCGCCATCAAAATGATACATTTAATTATTCTGGCTGCTGTGAGAAAAGGCTATAAACGATCCGTCACCTGCAGCATCCTCACATGCGATAGTCTAGTAGCCGAGAAAACTTCTTTATGTTTTCAGACATGACGTAATGACGCAGTGCCATGCTCGAATTTCCCGCGAAATTCTACCTGTACCACTCAAATTAGAAAACATTATTATAAGCTAACCGTTGTGAATCGGGCTAAAGTAAGGCGATAGTTTTGAACACTGGCTGGTTATGTACTTGCTCAAATATTGATTTCAGATCATTTTTAACCAAAAAAAGTTTAACTTTAACTAAAATGAAAAACTATTTTAAAAAAATGTATATCATAACTGAAATAGAATAGATTAAAATTTTTTTTTATTTTATTTCAGCTAGTTGCCAAGTCACCATCTTTCATTTTC